AAGACTAACAAATGGACACATTTTATTTTTCTCTTAGCTGAGCTTGGCTTACTCAATTTGGAAACTTTGATTTCAAAGACAAGTAGAAACAATGGCATTAGGTTATTTGGTAATTTAAAATTATAATGTTGTTAGTTGCTGTGGAGTTGATTCCAGCTCCTGGAGACCTGTGTGTACGTAGCAGAACTGCTCCATAGGGTCTTCAAGGCTGTGACCTTTCAGAAGCAGATCGCCAGGCCTGTCTTCTGAGGCACCTCTAGGTGGGTTGGAGCTGCCAACCTTTAGACTAGCAGTCGAGGGAAATTATAATTGGGGCCACAAAATTAAAGTTGAAATTGCAACTTTGCTGTTGTTCTTTTTTTTTTTTTTTACACAGACTAGTAATCAGAAGTGCTCTTGGTAAGTAGGGTATTCGGCTTAGTTACCAGGCTATAAATTGTGTCCCTGAATTTTGATCTGCAACCGAGGAGCAGTTAGGTGCAGTTCATGCCAGAACAGATGAAACCAAGATTCTAGCATTGACAAGTAAAACTAGGGGCCTCTAGAGAAGTTGTTTTTGTTTTGTTTTATGGGGGACGGAGAGTATTCATACAACAAACAAGCACCATCCTGGGTGGGTGCTGCCTTAGTCCTTGGTTCACAGACCATCCTTTTATCAGAATCTCCCAGACAGCTTTCGAAATATCCAGATTCCCCCACTTCCTGGAGGTGTGGCCCTGGGCAAGTCACTCTTGGCTTGGAAAACCTGGCTCACTTCGTCACTTCAGGGGCCCTTTCTACCTCCCTACCTAAAATAACATCTCACCCTCTATGGTGAGGAGTAACCTGAAATAACAGAGATTTTAGAACTTCGCCACAGCTAGCAGCTGCTTCTACTGTGATTACAACAGATCACGCTGATGGACGAAGCACCCCTCTGGGTGTGGGGTTCTCACCGTCTAAAGAGCTCCCCCAGAAATTCCAATGGGCTTCACACTGTGAAGACCACAAGTGGCAGTGAAAACACTCACAAACTTCAGGATAAACAATGCTCGAAAGACATGGTCATCTTCTCAAGGAAAGAGGGTATCTGAAAATGGGACTAAATGCACTGTTGGCCTCTGGCTTGCCCCAATCCAGTATCACAATATTTGCTTTCATCAATGTCAAACTTTTACAAAGAACGTCAGATTTTTTTTTCATTCCTCCTGGGATAAGATGAAGCGGTGGATGGCAAACTGCTTTGCTTGAATGGAAACTAGATCAATTTGGGATTAATTGTTAAGAAAGCAAAAGTATGTTTCCCTCCTTTTCTTCTCATGGCTAACTTCGTAGGTGATTCTTCCAACTGTGCAGTTCAGGTGGAAATAGAAACATTTTCTGTTCAGGATGATTAGGATTTTATAAAACTTTATTGTAGAATATTATTTGGGAACTGTGAGGGCAGTCCTTTTATGGGGAACCAAGGGGTTCATATCACTTAACTGAATATTCATATTACGTGCATGTCCTAATTTGAAAAGTGTGTACCCAAAGCTCCGTGGACGGAAGTCTCTGGGTGACGGCGAGCAACTACAGAGAAAGAGCGTAGAAGGTAAATGAAAATAACAAAAGGAAAAAAGAAAAGAAGAGAAAAAATGCAAAGAAAAAAGAAGGAAAGGAAAATACTTGGAAGGCACTTTATCCATAGGAAAAAAATATTTTATTTTTTTAAGAACAAATTCAGTTTGAAACAGACGTGGAATGTGACTTCACGGATTTCATTTTCTAGGGGGCTAACTGCAATGTGGAACTAAAGCAGATTTAAAACCTATGACAGGCTATTAAAATAAAACAAAGAAAGAAAAAAATATTTATAACTCAAGCATAATACTGTTACTTACAAACTGGACAAAGAAATTTTAAATAAATATTCATGGTACATAATTACGGCACAAATATGCAGCAATCTGGCAACCTTTTATACCATTTTTTTCCTCATTACAGTGCAAAGGGGAATGGCACTGCCTTTAAACAAGCTGTAGCTAAATACATTGCAAAATTCAGATTTTATACAAAACATCTTGCTTAGACTTTATAAAAAACCACCATTGCTCTATGTACACAATCTGGGTAAGAAAAGCCATTTCTGTCTCGTTTTCAGATGTATTTTTTTATTAAAAAGGTGAATAAGGCTACTGTAACACCCCAAATCCATATACAGTAAAATCTGAACCTATTTACAGCATCTTCACTTAAACAGGACGGTGCAAATTCCAGAGTCAGGTGACTAGGGATGATCATACAAGAAGGCATTTACAGTAACTTTCTAAAGCTGAACCAACTTCAAATAAAGGGACAGTTGGTAGATTGTCATATTCTGCACCAGACACAAAACAGACACGCACTACACTTCTCAGCTGGTTGCAGGGAACTCCTCACCAATTCATCTGATTTTTCACAGTTTAGTCTAGAAACCAAAACGTAGCCAACCGATGATACATACATTTGATCCATTAAAACCAGACTCACCATTCCCCATGTTTTCCCCTTCTTGCCCCTCTCCCCATCCTAAAAGTAATTTCCAATGGTTTACAAGAAACTCTTGTATGAACGTACATATAGGAGAGGTTGGGGTGATGGAAAGAATTACATATGTACTGCGGTTGGTTACCACGGCAACCCTCCACAGAACTATGATATCGATATATATAATATATATTGTAGATATATATTATACATATATGTACACATGTATACCACACACCCACTCATACACACACACACACACACTTTGGACCAACATCATTTTCAGGTTCGGGAAATAGAGAAGAATAATTTCTGTGACAACTCATTTTTACAGGTACTCACTGTAGGTCTGAGAACCTTCAAATGCTGTTGCTACATTTTTTTCCCTCCCAATTCAGAAAGCAAAGCGTTACCATAGTAACAGGACTATGTTAAAGATGTCTATTTTGCATAGCACATAAAAAGTAGGTTTCCTGTTTATTTTTTAAATTTTTTCCCCGGAAGGGAGGGAGTAGGGGGGAAGGAGAGGAGGAGGGCAGCTAAACTTTCAGCTGAACCCCCCTCAGTGGGACCTGCTGGATTCTAGCGAACACTTCAGCCTATAAGGCAAGGGAAAACACAACGCAGAAAATAAATGCCGGAACATCTTGTCATTGTCAAACATGTGATGCAGTAACACCGATTTCCTGGTATTTTGGGGCTTGTATTTCCTAGTCCACGGTTATGTGAGATGCCTTCAGAGGACTTCGGTATTTTTGTGTTTGCGTTCATTATTGTTAATTTTGGAGTAATGTTATTTTTCCCAGAAGTCGCCGTCCAATTTTTTTTTTTTTAAAGCACTGACAGTGGGGACCACTTAATTGCCACGAATGAATTTCACATCTTCTGGGCTGTACTCTGTGCAATCTTAAAATATATATTAGTAAAAATCTTTCATTTTATATCCCTTGTGTTCTATACACCTATTATAAATACGTCCTAGCTTCCTTCTCCCCCTCAACATCATAATTTACTTCAGTCTTAAGGACTCTCTCTAAGAGGTTTGCCAGATGTGCTTTACTTTGAAACAGAGCAGCGGGCAGCTTCGGCCTCGGTCACAGTACCTACCCTGCAGCCCCCGCAGCACAGACGGCACCGCCATAAACCAAAGTGTCGTAAGGCCAGATATGGGGGGGGGGGGAACAGGGCGCTGAGGGGCGGGGCGGGGATCTGACCTACCTTTTCTACATGAGAATTCTTCAGTCAGTCAATGATGATGGAATTACAGCCTGCTTGACCTTTGGCTTTTAAACGGCTAGGTCAGATTTGGCTCTCTGCTATTCTCCTAAATGCTTTCTTTCCCTGTGTTTAATAACATGTGATAAGTATAGCAGCTGAGTCTGCTTTAAAAAAATCACCCAAAGCAGACTGACTTTCCTACAGCCTGAGAGCTGTTTATCTTATTGCCAGTACCACAACAGTCCTGCCGAAGTTATCATCAGCGGCCCTAGGCTCCGTCCAGCCCAGCCTGTTCCTCCACCAACAATACCCCTTTGTTCCGCGGGAGCAACCAGGCGGTACTATTTTCCTCTGCGCATTGCTATTTGATCCAGCGAATCCCTTCAAACGCACCCCCACCCACTGCGTGTGCTGTCGTGTCTCCTCGTCGCCTCTGACATCTCAGCAAAACCAAAGTGCTGTGCTACCTAATCGTTTTCGTCGTCTTCTGATGCAGACGCAGCAGCAGCGATAAACCGCCAGCGCAGTCAGCAGGCAGCCCTTTCCCCCGCCCCACCCCCGCCCCCCAACTCTTCCTCTCGCCGGCTGACTGCCTAGCTTCTGGCTGGAAGGCTCCTGATAGCAAACACCGCTTCTCTAAACTCATCACCCACTCAACGGTAGCTGTTGCTGCAGACGGATGGAGAAGGGAACTCCCCGCGTTAATGTCCCATTGGTGATGCAGGATGGAGAGAGAAAGGGGATCTCATGTGAAGGACTGCAGCGCCCTGGACAACAGGAGGAGGGTAACAGTGATGGACTAAAAGCTAGAGATCTTTAAAAGCCTTACTTAGCCAGAGGTCTGTGTGACAAGTCCAGTATGCACCGAGAGACAGAGCCACACCGAGGTGGCAGAGACTGCATTTCCAAGCGTGGCATCCCAGGGTACCTTCCCAGGATGCTCGGAGCTCTCCTGCCCACCAACCACTCTGTCTTCCCTTGGTTTTTGTATCTGCCTGAATTACTGCAGCACATGGCTTAGAGGATGATACATGTAACAAGAATACAGCAATCCGAATGGGTATCTTCTACACACAGTCTTCCAGCTTTCAGTGAGTACTTTTATTCACCAAGGCTGAAATTCTACAGACTAGGGTCAACTGTCCAGCTCATCAAGGCTCTTCTGAGAAGGAGTGTTCCCACTCCCCCACTGTGCCTCAGTCAATTCCAGAGCACAAGGTGTCATCAAACCCTCAACCGGAAGCATCCGAACAGTAAGTTTCCTCTGGGAAAGCTAAGGTACCAGCAGAGTTGCCTCAGACCTTGTAGTAAATGTTTGCTGGGCTCTGAGGAGGCATCTCCTGGACTATGTACACAGGATGCCCATAATCCCCACTGACTTTTTCATAGTGAGGGCAGAAAACACTGTCTGCAGTCCTTAGTGGGATGATAATGTCACTGGGCTCCGAGCCATTGTTGTTGGCGCTGCGCTTCGGCGTGGCTAACGTGCTGAGTGACAGTGTGGTCGTGTGCTGCGGTGAATGCTTTCTGTGTCTTCTCCGGTACTTGAGTAAAAGAACCACCAGAGTGATGATGATGACGATGAAGATGATGCATCCTGAAGCAATCCCTGCGAATAAGGCCACTTCGGAACCAAGGATATTGTTACCAGAATGTCCGGCACTGTTGCCGTCTGTGCTAGAACCTGCAGAGATGCAAAGAAGAACGGAAGAAGAAAAAGGTTATCACTGTCCTGAGTGCTGACAGGCTATTTTTATGACCCTCCAAAATGTGAAAACTTAAGCAGGACCAAAGATTTAACTGGCAGCCAAGCTCTGACAAACCAATTACCTCCTTTAATAGCTAAAAGCCAATGGCAGGAGTCAGCCATCAATATGAAATGAGATATCAGGTCTCTAGGTCTGCCTTTAATGCTGCTCCCAAACCACATGGTTCGCTTTTCATGTATCATCATCCATCAACAGCACGGACCGGCTGTGACAACCAGTCCTTGATCTCGCCTCATCTTTTAACCCACGTTAGCTAGCCTGAGGCAACAGCAGGGAGACAAAAAAGGAAATAGCCGATCTTCCAGGTCAGTTTGGAGTGCTCACGGTGTACTTGCTCTTCCGCTTTCCTTCAGATACAGTGGTTTCCTATGAATCTTCAAACAGCCTGCCTTCTGAAGACAAGCCCTGCCTACTGGCAGAACAGCTCGAGAATGTAGAAGGAGTAATGGGACCTGGGAAAATGTTCCACTCGTACCTCGTTTGTATTATTTGATTTACGCTTAAAGTATATTTGGAAGGCAGCAGAAACTTTCACACGGAGCAGACTGCCAACCCAAATGTTAAGCACGAAAAAATTGCCTGGCATCATTATATTATCCATTTACCAGTTTGTCACAAGAATTTGACATATCTTGTCACTGAAAGTTAGAAATAACAACTTCCCTCCTTGATGCTTAGAAAGAGATGGAATGTTGCTGCAGAGGCTAAATTCACAAGACTACCAACCACACATACCTACAGATCCTCAACACAGAACTGCTGACGCCGGCTCGACAACTACCATATAACAAATTCATCTCACAGCAACCAACACAGAGCTGTTGGTTCCAAGATGTTAAGAAAATGAAGTGAAGCGACAGTCAATTTTGCATGGTGTTCTAAACTTTTGTCAGGGATCACTTTAATATTTTATTTTGCACTGAAAATAGGAAAAAAAATTTGATGCTAACCATCTGAAAAAAAATGCCATTAAGCCATTATGCAATATTTTAAAATGTTACCATCTAAAACTTAGAAGAGGATCAATTAGTCTCTTTGTGGATTAGATATAATTAGATGAGAGATTAGAACATTAATTATATATACATTAACATCAGATTTAAGCTGCTGTTGAGAGCCAGCTTGATAAAGTATCAGCCAAGAAAAGAAGGAAAGAAAATAACTTTAGTCTGAGGGAGTAGTGTTAATAATTGGCACTTAACATCTGATGAATTTTACTCTTTAGAATCAAAGACTTTCGTGGGAATGAATTATTTTGCTCTTACTGAGTGTAATTAGTAACAACTAGCTGAGAGCAAAGATTACCTACTTCTGTAACTACCAGCTAATCCTACCGGTGTAAAAATACTTTGACTTTGTTCTACCTCTTGAGATACTATTTTGCACACAGACCTACAAACACACAGCTCATGTTACTATACCTGGATTTGGTTTTACAAAGGGACTTGTTGTTGAGCTTCTCCCATTTGTACCAGCTTCCAGTTCTGGACGTCTTGTTGGATCATTATTCCTGGCTGACCCAGCAGAACTTGCATCTATATGAAAAAGAAATGATTAATTACAGCACAGACATCTGATATTTAGCTTTATGAGCTGGATATATATCTCAAGAAGCATGAATAGCAATGAACATAAGCTTCTTTATGCAAAGTACTGTGAGATATAAGAATGTAATTTTCCTTTTAAAACAAAATGGTTATACTAGTTTTTTCAGAGGTTTAGAATGTGAGGCCATCTGTGGAAACTATAGGGATTCTTGCATTTGGCAGGCAAAGCATTGCAGATGACATTTCAATTTAACTGAGCAAGTTGATTGACTACTACACCAATTTCTAATTAGAAGAACAGTTCTGCACAATAGGTTGTCTATATGTGAAAAGGCACAGTGAACTCTTCTGTAGTCAAAATTCACAAATGAGCAAAATGGTAGAAACTTAGTTTTCATTCTGGCTCTTTTAGTTTTGAACCAAAGAGATATTTTCAGAAGAAAAATATATATATATGGCAATAGACATTCTACCTGGCTGACCTTTACTTTTAGATCTCCAATAAAAGACGTGTATTACACTGACTTGAGAAAATCTGCCAGTGGCTCAGGATGCACTGAAGGGTTTGCTTTCAAAACTAAAGAGAAGAGTGAATGAAGGTGAGTGTTATCAACATTGGCTCCACACTAGCTGGGGGCTAAACCCGAGCACAGTGGCTTCATGAAGCAGCAGATGGTCTTTACCTTGTCCAACTTTCATGAGGATCTTCATGGCTCTTGTCTGGCACACCCCTCCCTCCTGGTTATCCAGGCCCTCCAAAGACCCATTTGATGTAGCTGATTAAAAATAAAATGGACAAAACAAAAAAATAAAGAAAAATCAGGAAATCAATAAGCCAAGTTTACATGAACATGAAATGCCTGAAAACAATTTGAAAAATAAGAATTCACTCTTACTCACAAGTTTTCTGAATGTATGGGATGCTGAAAGCCAAAAATAAAACAAAAAAAGAAGAAATAAAGAAAAATGGATACTGTAAACACTGCTGTATGTATTCTATCCGGTTTCAATTTACTTAAGCACTTTCTCCTTCCTCACAATTAACTGACATAGTATTATTCTATAGATAAAAGGGGCGGCATCTTCCAAAAAAAGCCAACTATTTCGGGGCCAAGCTTAAAAGAGCAAAGTAGTTAATACAGTAATTTTAAAAAGTGGCTATCACCACACAACACCTGCTTCCTCTAATACAGACTTCCTGTTTCAAGAACAATTAGCTTGATGCTCCCTGCTTGTCAAGCATCCAGGTTCTGTAAACAGTAAAAGCAGAGCCTCCCAAAACCCTTTTCTTCTTTCTTCAGCCTTATACTTGCTTAAGATGTATACTAGAACGTCCCTTTGGTTTGCTACAATTCAGGTCTTCACATTTTGAAGTTTTGCTCCATCATTTTGTAAACAGGAAAGAATGACTGTGTTATTATTACTCATATTGCCCTCAGTCAAACTCTTCAACCAAACCACCTGTGGTAGGAAAACTCTAGACTGGTAGAGTGGTCACCCACACGTGCCCACGGCTCTGTTTCAGTACTGTGGCAACCCTGAAGATAGGGTGAGGGCTTTTGGCAGCCACTGGTCTCATATTCAACAACTCCATTCTCTTTCCACCTCAGCAGTGAGGGGCAGGTGGAAGGGCAAAACCGTTTTACCATTTTCAGTATTTTTTTTTTTAAACAGGTTATGTTCTTCTCTATTAAAACCCATATTCTGTCTCTTTAGGGCAGCGAGTTCTCTGAGCAGTTTCGTAACTAAAGCTGTAAACAGACGGGCAGCCAGAAACTTCCCTGAGGAGCAGTGTAAGTTCCAAGGAGGGAAAAAAAGGTGCCGAGTGCTAGACATTTTCATTCTTCTAAAGTTCAAGGGGCAAGAAACAGAAGTGTTTCATATACATCTCCGCAATTTAAATCATTTTCTACTTCGATTATCAAAGTCTTGTCTACTAACCTTGTACTTTCAAAGAGATTAAAAGACAGGCAGACTTTCTGGTAAAAATAAATTCAAAAGATATTCCTTGAATGGGATTGTTTGTTTTCCATGTGGCAAGTCCGCAAACAAGTTCTATATGCACTTGTAGTAGAAATATGCATGTCGTGGATATTTACATTAACTAGAAAATAAGGCATTTATTTACCCGTCTTCGTGCTCCTGAATTACTGACTTTTACTTTCACTGTTTTCCTTAAAAACAACAGCTGCCTCTTCTGGGTATAAATATTTCTTTGCTTATCTGAGTGCTCGCTTTAACCTCACGATCATATCTCACTCTTCTACAATTGCCGAGACTACATTTCTCCTGGGAAACTGGAACGGGGCAGCACTTCAGTGAAAACTAACCCATTCCGCTACACCAAGTTCCTTCCATGTGATTCTAAAATTTGGGGTCCATGATATTACACAGGAGAAGATCTGCCAGTGGCTCAAGGTACACTGAAGGGTTTGCTTTCAAAACTAAACAGAAGCGTGAATGAAGGTGAGTTTTACCAACATTTGCTCTACAATACATATATTTTGTAAAAAGTAGACAGTGCCCTCCTACAGTGCTCAGTTGCTAAGAAACTGATGGGCAGGTAAGTTAAAACAAATTCCTACAAATGTAGTATGCTTCTGTGAATCTAACATTATTTTCCCCCACTTCCCCATTTTTCTCTTCTCCAAACATGTGCTTAAATTTCAAAGTATCCTTTCCTCACAAAGGCTTACCATAGCACTGGTTTCTATGAGCAGACGCTATTTCTGAACAGTATCAGAGCAGTGCTATAACCTACAATTATTCTTTAGAAAATTTTAAGTTGATCTTTCATTAAAAATAGGACACTTCTTTGTACAGAAAATGTGTAAAACTGATGTCTTTATTCAGCTGATGGTTTCAAATTTTCGTTAACTTAATTCAATCCCCAATGTTTTCAAAGTCACAAACACAGAAATGTGCCCAGGTGCATAAGTGCGCCAAAACTCAGAGTGAAATCACTAACTTTGCCTTGCTAAAAACTTTTAACATTAAGTTGACAATTGATAAAAACTAAGATCTGACAAGTAATGCAAAGAAAGAAAGGGAAGCATATAGATTTGTTTATCTGGGGGAAAAAGGAAGTCAAAGATACTGGTCTAAAAAAAAAAAAAGATTAAATGAATACCAAGACAAGGCATAGCAGAGAAGTGTCACGGGTAAATATAATTCCAAATCATATCTGCAGTGGTAGAAACTACTGAATGGACCACTTTTATTTTGTTAAACTGGATTCACAAGAAGTGCACATAATTTGAGTGGCTGTTTCAAATTTTTTTTAATTTGTAGGTCAATTCCTTTTCTGAATTATCAATGCCTTTGTGCTGAGCTCCCTAGGTTTACCCAAAATGATGTCGGAGCAACCCAAAAATGTACTCTTCTATATTCAAATTAAGTTGCAATCTATAATTTAACATCCACAGACTATAACAGGAGGGAAGTTGATCTGTGGAAGAAACTGCTTTGCATTCTTTAACAGTTGAAACTTTTTTATTCCTTTGTAAGGAAAGCCTGCAAGCACTGGCGTTGAATAAAGGAAAATCTATAGATGCCGCCATTCCAGAGTTCTTCAGAAGTCACAGGCTACTGCTGGTTTGGGAGAGGGGGGTGATGAAGGGGCAGAGGAAGGCAAAATAGGGCAGAACAATTTGAGTGACAAGACAGATTTTCTGCTACATTCCAGCCTCTGCTGCTTCTCCCTGTAACTCAACGACTAACTTGTGAAAGTTACTGAAAGATTGAAAAATTAATTACCATTGCTAGTGTTAAAACGGCACCTGAAATACTCAGCTGTTTAAAAAGAGGCTACACTTTACAATACTGTAAGATGTTCTACCATAGAGCTTTTGCCCTAATTCAGGAATGATCTAAGCTGTCATGGAAAACCCCATTTTAAGATATTTGTATCACTCGGAACTTCAGTTTAGCACACAGAAGGTAAACTTTACACAAGTATAAAATACTTCTGAATGATTTCAACTCATTTTCTGCTTGGTCCCATAGTGAAAATTACAGTCACTCTAATTTCTCTCTTCCCTACTCCATACTCATCACAGGCTGTCGTGCTCATTCTGGAGCCCCTCTTGCCTGGAGCAATGACACAGTCAAAATGTTCTTCACGGTAAGTGATTGTTCTGATGGTGCCACTTTACAGGCAGTGGGCTCCAAAATAAAACCACAAGATCAACATTCTGATTTCTGCAGCCACGGTCACCAAGAAGCCTTTAAAAGGCTTAGCAGCTTGATTTTGAAAAGTAACAAGGAATTGCCAATGCTTGGGAATAAAATCTATTTCCAACCCAGGAGACAATCCTGTAATTATTTTTATTGTTGATTGGACTGTATTAGAGATTTTCAACTTAGAAAAAGAGTACAAATAAATTGCTACCTCTTTATGCTTAGATTTTCTTTGTATCTCTCTACCAGCATTACCTAATGCAGCCACAATCATAGTACTGCCAAAGGGATGAAATTGCATTTAATCATTTAGAGACAGAAAAAAATAACATTGTTATACCTAAGCTTTTAATGCCCAGACATTTCTTCCCCCCTTGGCCTGGGGAAAAATAGGCTTTAATAAAATTAAAAATTACTAGAAGAGTTTCTCCATCTAGTTGGAAAATAAGTTTAATAAAGATTCATGGGCATTTTATAGCCTGTTTTTAAAAGCTTTTGCTTCGAGATCTAATTACACGTACTAAGCATAGTGAAATCACTATTAGGTCCCCCCACAGGGCCTGATTTCCAGTGGGTGGAGAGCATTGCTCAGCAAAAGAGAAAGAACCCCGAGTTGACACTACCTAAAAGTTCTCTAGCACATCTGAAAACCACACAGCCAAAATCTGAGGTTTCTCTTTTATTTGCCTTCGAACTTATCAGCAGGTCTCACTCCCTGGGAACAGTACACTGGTTATCTGAGTAGGAAAAAAGAGAAACCGTTGAAAAAAACAGACTAAGAGGGCAAGAATATTTCTGGCGATGTTTTTTCGACTGTCCCCACGGAAAGGAAGTAATATTACATTTTAACATGTCTTCATTGGATCGTTACTGCTCCGCACCCCAGGAGGCTAAGCTGCTGCACTGGATCTTGGCTATTTCCCCTTCATCGCATTGGTAACATTGGGCTAATCAGATGGAGAATTAACCTGCTGGATATGTGCCGATACAGGGGTCTCTTTCACAAAGAGACTGGGAATGAGGGCAGTACAAAAAATCCTACAGGCTGATAGCATCCCTGTGAAGGAAACTTTTTTAGGTTATGATGGAAAGAATGAAATATCAAGATGTACTAACACTATAGGGGGTTATTTCAAAATACTTAAAGAACTTAGTGGTATGGGGGATAAACATACTGGGTCAGAAAAGCCCCAAAGTTCAATTTTCTAGTTAGAATAAAAACCTTGTCTGGTAAGACTATAAAGCTGTACTTGACATAATTCACTCTTATTTGATTATGAAACAAATGGCATTTAAATAAGCCTCTCTATCAACATCATCCTCTACATGTACTATTCTTTCCCACCATATTATTACATGCTAGCCCTGCTGATTTGTAATTTCTTAGGCCTGCTTTCCTACCCAGAAGAGAATAAACAAATCAGTCTCCTTAAGCTCAACACAGATTTCTGAAGAACTAGAAGCCTGTTATCTGGCAAACCGAGAAATTTTTAAAAAAGCATAATCAAGCGAAAAACACAAAAAGTAATTCATGGTATTAAAATAAACATGAACACAAACTACATTACAGTTTTCTTTTCCCAGGGCTATCCAACAT